CATGCATGCATGCATATATACTTGATATTCATGCATGACTGAAATCCCAGCACGGACCGGTAATCTAGCACACTACCAGCAGGACCTGCTCCCTTCCCAACTCTGGCAAGCCCCGGCGACACTGGCCCGAACATCTCCCTGCATAGCCGAAAGTCCGCCCGAGTACTGTTCATAAATGCTTTAAACCTCAGTAGGTATCACTTGCCCGCTTGGAGTCATGGGGTATCTCCGATTCTGGCTCTCATGTCGAGGATCCGGCTACAGTAAGACAGAAGCTCGAAACCCTCGAAACCCCCTACTCAATTGTGCTCCTAACCCTTAGACCCCCTAAACCCGAAACCTGAACCCTGAAGTCCTCAAAACCCTTCAAGCCATCAGCTGAAAGCCCTCAGCTCGAAACCGTAGCTGCCATCCAGATTCAGACGAGGCCATGGCTAGGAGCTAAGCTGAAAGCCAAAAAAAATCGCCGAATCCACGGACCATCAACCCTTGACTCCTTAAGCCTACAGGATCGCGCACACATACACAGCGCAAGGGTTGAAGACGCCAGGAACCTAGAATTCCTGAAGCAGAAAACCATCTGTCACAACGAGTCAAAACACCTGAACCGCTATGGAGCACAAGCTATAAGTGTACTGTATCCAACGGACAGCAGGGAAGTGGATACATGCAGCCTGCATGGTGAGCCTACTGCTTTGAAGCCTTGTCTTGCATGCTGGGAATGCTTTGAGCCGCAGAAATAAGGCTCGGGACGTTGGAGTGTAACCAAAGTGCTACAAGCAATAACTTATAGATCTGATTACAGCTATCGGTATAGGGCTGACAGGGCTTTTGCAGATGTGGCTGGTGGGCCTCAAAGTCATATACATAAGCTTTTACTCGGACCATCATGAACCCTGAGCGCCTGAATCCTAAACCCCTAAACCCTAAAAGTAGGCAAGAGGGAGTGCGTGTGTGTGTGTGTGCACTAAGTGGGACAAGTCGCCTGAAATACTGTCTCCATGTTTGTGCATGGACGACGCAAACTGTACAAGAGACGCCCTATCCATGGCAATTGAGAAAACACTCTAGTGGCTGCCCAGGAAAGGTTGAAACACTCGGCAGCGGGTCATAGGCTAACCTGGCCGAGCAATTTCACAACAAGAGAAGCGATGCCGGTGCTGTGCAAAACCCAGAGCGAACCCCGCAAATCTGATAAACCCTCCCATGTCTTTGGACCATGGCGTGCTGAAAACCCAACAACCTTCCCATGCATACATACATACATACATACATACATACATACATACATAATCATACATACATACATAATCATACATATTATATACATATATCGCTCTTGCGGGGCATAAATAGACGCAATGAGGGGCCGTTGCAATGCACATAGTGCATGGGGTTTCATGGCTTCAGGACAAAAGGAAGAACTGCATGATGGCACGGCTTTGCAACACTCTGCATGTTGGTGAAGACTGTACGTTTTTTTACATCTCTGGCAGGAATTTTGCGCAATTTTGATGTGCATAGATCATGAACTCCACTCAGGCAAGCAAGACTCCGGATTTGGGATTCGCAAACACAGCAAGAGCGTGTCTTGCATACTATATATTCCGATGAATTAGAAAACTGACCGGGTGACAAAGCTGGAAAGGTCATGCGAAGCATAAGAACACTACCTCAAAATACTTGAAAAGGAACGCCTTTGGCGTCGGCCAAGACCTCTCAGATGAAGAACGTGTCGCTCTCAGCAAGGGTCTCGGTGTGTTGGTGGCCTTTAGTAGAGCAGGCCTCGATCAACCACGATGGCAAGAGCATCTGGCGTGCCAGTTCGCATGCCGTTTGCTTGCGGTAGTTCCGGATGTCTACTCGAGCTCTGGCTGAGAGCAGCGAGGACACGGAATCCAGAGAACCACTCAGAATGCTGAACATCAGCGGCGTAGCGTCGTAATGATGATAAGCCAAAAGAGTCAGTCTGGAAGGGCTAACCCGATGCCTCACGCCCATGATGTTCATCAGAAGCCACCACCCGGGCTCCTGGATCTGTACTCGGAACTGCTCATTCACATTCGCCCGAGCCTGGAGCAAAACGGAAACCAAGTCGGCAGAGCCCCCTCCAGCGAACATGAGTGCGAAGTGTAGGCAATGTCTCAAACTCAAATCTGGATTCAGAGTGAGCAGCTCTTTCATGGCACGCCGACTTCCGCATGTACACGAGAGCACCAAAGGGCTCGCTCCTGGCATGCACTGCTGATTCACGTTGGCACGAGCATGGCAGAGCAGACGTACTCCGCGTGGATTGTCCCCCGCACACGCGGTATGGAGAGCATTGCCACCAAAGCCGTCCTTGTAGTTCACTTGGGCTCTAGCACAAAGAAGCAGTTCGACAGCTTCATTGTTGCGAAGTATGGAAGCTATTCCCAGAGCCGTCAGCTTGGCAGGAAAATTGACTTCTGTTTCGGGCTTGGTCGTAGCCTGGTTGATATCCACCTTTCGGTCAAGAAGCGCTTGCAGCACCACGAGGTTGTTGCTCATCGCTGCAAAACAAATGGGCGGCCACCCTGCAGCGTCCCGCTCGAAGATGTTCCTGACAAGTATGGAGTCGTGAGATTTCACAGGTATAGGGGCTGAGGATTTTGGGTTTCTACGCTCCTGAGGCCGTTCTGATGCAGGAAACGCTCCAGCATGAAGCCCTTGCAGTCAACACTCGGGTCGATCTCAGTGTGGAATCCTGGAACGAGGCCGTCAATGGGTTCCACATCAAGAGCGCGGAAATACTGCGCCTCTTGTATATTCAGAAGGAATCGGTAGTTGTGAAACTGTCGATGCTCGAGGTAATAGAAGAGATTGGACCAAACCATCTGAGTAACAACACGGCCGATCCACACTCGGTCAACGTCCAGCGTAAACTCTCCTTCACCAGGTGCGTGCCTCGTGCTTAGTCCTCCCCAAAGCAGCGTCTGGTGTGTGGCGCTCTCTACAATAATGACGTAGCCACCTTTGCGGGTGGAGAGTTCGCGTGCAGCTCTCTCTGTGCGACACCACCTGGGCTGGGCTGCGGGATAAAGAACCGGCAAACCTAGGCCTAGGCGCGAACAGGTGTATCGTCAAATGCCAAAGACATGCAAGTGCAGCTCAGCTGCCCCCTTTCGCCCCAAGTGGCATAGCCCAAAGTCCGCTTCTGTTCTCTGTGCTTCAAAGCCGGGCATAGCACGACAAAGAACTCGCATCTTGCCACATATGTTGGGATGCTTTGAATGGCTGTCTGACGGCCATGAGATGCACGGCCACCGCGGCTTTGTGGGATGCTAAAGTAGTCATACCAAATATGGAGATGGCCGGGTGTGAAGTCGCCGGGTGTAGGGCCTTTTCTTCGACCACGCACAATTTCTGAGAACAGAGCTTGAGAAATTGAGCTGGTTCCGGCAACGATATTCCTCAGCGTATCTTGCAGAACTTTCAGCTGCTGGAAGTCTGGATCAGGATGGGTGTCACTCAACCACTGGTGCGACACGAACATTGCCTTTCCCAGGCTCTCATCAAACTCTGAAAACACACCTGCGTCTGCGAGCTCCTCGTGCATCAGGACTTCTGTCATCTGCAAGAAAGCATCGGCAGGTACGGTGTACATCCCAAAAGTGCTGCTGCCTAAGTTTGGGACCCACTCTACCTAGCTCACACACTTCTATGATAGACCTACTGGTTTCAGGTGTTTCCGACGCAGTCACTAGTCACTAAGCTCCTTTACCGACACAGCATCTTCTACAACCCGAACACTAAGTCCGACAAGCCGCCTGAGATACTGTCTCCACGTTTGTGCAGGGACGACGCAAACTGCACAAGAGACGCGCTATCCATGGCAATTGAGAAAACTCCCTAGTGGCTGCTCCGGAAAGGTTGAAACACTCGGCAGCGGGACATAGGCTAAACTGGCCGAGCAATTTCACAACAAGAGAAGCGATGCCGGTGCTGTGCCAAACCCAGAGCGAATCCCGCAAATCCAACCCAACAGGCGGGGCTGTGTATATATATATATATATACACACATGTATTAATGCATGGATTCTCGGAAGTCAAAGCTTTGAATGGTCTCGTGGCATGCAATTGCGAATTGGAGGTAAACCCTAAACCCTAAACCCTAAACCCTAAACCCTAAACCGTGCTGCTTGTGAAACTGTGGGGATCCCGGCCCCTCGGGGTATCTTCGCAATGGCCATCACCCTGGCCCTGCAGTGACCTGCCCTACAGTCTACAGAAGATGACAAGCATGGACGTCTTGAGAATAGTCTAGGGGCCGTAATAATTCGAATAGGGTTTTGGGGTCCACTATACTATATATATATATATATATGGTCGCCCCCCCCCCCGTTGACAGACCATGCCCTCTCAACTGAGTAGATGTGCATGGTGTGTCATCGGATGGGTGGCGATCAGCCCTCACAAACTCAATTCCAAAATTTCCAATATTCTCGCCCCTAACTTTCCGGATTTCCAAAAT